AGTTAAGTAACGCCCAGTAATATAGTGCACCAGAGTTGCGAACATCATCATCGCCAGCAAAAGCATCATCATCATGATTGACTTATTCGCAAGACAAAGGCAGTGTTTGCTTATAATGGGACATAATTTTGTACGTGATAAATCACAATCGTTCAAGAAATGGCATAACATTAAATATATCAGTGTTCTGCTGCTGGTCGTGTCGGCCCAATGGCCCATGATGAATTATACCATCTATTACATTGACGATTTGCAGTTGGCCACGGCCAGCTTAAGCATTAGTTTCACCAATGTCCTGACCGTAATAAAAATTACAACATTTCTCTTTTACAAATGGCGTTTTGGAGCATTGATGGAAAAACTGGAGACGATGTACCATGAATGTGAGTACTGTTTGTTGTAAGGATTTATAGCTTTACCACATATCGCCACATTTATTAAATGCATGAAGGAGTTTCTTGGCGTTGTACTTCTTGTTGAAACAAATCATGCATTTGCTGGGGTCGATTTCGTTGTAAATTTTCAAGCACATTTGAAACTTTTATTTTTGTGGTCTGTATTTGATGGTGTGTACTTTAATTTTATTTTTTCGGTTTTCAGTACACGAAGAAGAAAGCAAAGCAATTTTGAAAAGGTCTAATCGCTATGCCATAATTTTGGTCAAACTTTATGGCAATTCTGTTGGCTTGACTGGTTTGTATTTTATGGTGGCACCAATATTGAAAATCGTCTGGTCCAAAATACGCAATACCAAGTTGCAATTAGAGTTACCAATGCCAATGAGGTAAGAAATTAAGGAGAGTATTTTGTATATGTATTTGTAAGAGAATTCTGCGATTAGTGTTGGGAAAATAATAGACTATGCAAGACATCAACAAACTTCTAGTCAGGAACTGTGGAAAAAAACGTTCGAGTGGAGGGTATACTGTTTTTGCTTTGGGTGTCACTCCGATATTATGGTCCCAGACCCATATTTTATTATTAGATTTAAGAAAACAAGAAAACAAAGACAAAAGTATGCACTAGTAATCGAGAAAGCTGGAGGATATGTTTACAAAAAATATTCCTGATTCGATTTGACTGAAGACCTGTGATCGCACAAATAACCTGCAATAACTTAAATACTTGACCTATGGCGAATTTGTCCTTCTGGGATTTTAAATAATTTTTTTTAATAATAAATAATTGTCCACCCATACCATTAGTTCGATTTTGTGTCACAGTGTTATTCATATTCGATTGCCGCCTACCAACGGCTTGGATTGAGGTTAACGTGGCAAAGCACAGGCTTTCCTCGGTCCCTCTTTCACCTCTTTTGGCTTACCTTGGTCCCTCTTTCATCTCATTTGGGGACTCTGACCTCCCCGCGGTTTAGGCATTTAGTTGAACACATTCGGAAACCCGCTCCTACTGTGAAAAATCAACGTAAAAGAAAACCTAATCCCCAAAAGCGTAAGTATTATAGGTGCCATGAAACGAGACATGCTTTTGACTGCGAATTTATGGTTGACGGGAGAAGAACAGACCTCGTCTCCAGATTTATTCCAGTAGACGAACAATTCGCTCCTCCGTATAAAAACGAAGTATTTCTACATTAGTCTTATTTATGTCCATGCTCTGACGGAAGACAAATATGAACAGATATATTTTACGAGCGCCTAGAATTAATCCAGTGTTTGAAACGTTCGATCGTTTCGGACCACTACCTTGTAGCAGCCAAGGTTCGCACTCATCTTAATGTAGCAGCAAAGGTGCGAAAGCCAACTTGATGAAAGCACTCATTGTTCCGATAATATTATAGAAGCACAATGGCAAAAGATTGCCCAGCAAAAGCAACACATGGGTACTAAAGACCACCATCAAGAAACCCCTGGTACGATCAGGAGTGTCGTAATGCTATAGGGCAACCCTGCAGACAGTAGAAACATGTAATGGGAGAGAGAATTATAGGGAGAAAATGAGGGAGGAGAAACGTTTTTTCAGAAAAATGAAAAAAGTACAAGAAAAATATGAGCGGAAGTAAATTGAGACGTACAGGAGACAGATCAAAGAACGGAAATTTTACCAACTAGTAAAACACCAAACCGAAGGCTTTTGTGCCGGCACATCCTTCTTTAGAGATGAAGATGGAAAACTGGCACTAGATACAGATAGCTTATGATAGTTATGGAAGGAGCATTTTGAAAATCTTCTTCTGGTATCAAGTAGTGGTTGTGAAGAAGATACCCAAGAAACAGTAAGAGATGACGGTGTGGAGTATTATCACCAAAATGAGGTCAGAATAGCAATCAATCTGCTGAAGAATAATAAAGCAGCAGGTACCGATGGATTACCAGCCGAACTACTTTAGACCGGTGGTCAGGAGCATGCACAAATTGATTAGTACAATTTAGTTAGAGGAATGCATCCCCAAAGAGTGGAACCTCAGCATCCTGTGTTCCGTATAATAAAAGGAGACAAGACGATATGTGTCAACTGTAGAGTATATATCTCCTTCCCATAGCACATAAAGTGATATCCAGCGTACGGTGTGAACGACTGTAGTCAATGACATTATTGGACCATACCAATGACATCGACATAATGGGTCGAGCATTGCGAGCAGTACCGACAAATTGAGAGGGAGACTACCAAACGTCCAATGGACTTTGACCAACTATGGAATTTGAGAACTACGACTTCAAGGTAGTCAACGATTTTACATACCTCAATTCCACCATAATAAAATAATGACATCAGGTTTGGTCTAAGAATCCGATTTAAGAAGAATGCCACCTCTCGCCAGACCAAACTCACACTCTGAAGCATGGATACTTGCGCAAGCAGATGAGACAGCACTTGGAGTGTTTGAGAGAAAAATTATCCGAATTATGGCCGATCTGCATCGACGGTGAATATCGCCGCCGAATGAACCATGAACCATTTATTCTCGGACATCGACATAGTAAGACGTATCGATCTGAAGCGACTACGTTGGCTGGGTCATTTTGTGAGAATGGATGAGGAAGAGGCATATTAAAATACCAATAACACTGTGCGACACGAAAATTTTTCAGGGGTTCTAATGTACCAATTCTGTTTAGTTGGAGTCCCTGGACCACGAAAATACCTTTAGTTTTTCTGGGTCACTTCGAAAATTAATTTTATAACGGTAAATATAGAGAAAAACGTTGTTTCATGGATTTTCCATTTGAAACTTGAATAACATGTTTACTTCATTACGGATTTATATTATTCTTTTTTTCTTTCGAAGAGTACAATTTTTCCTTCCAAACAAGATATATATTTGGTAAATCGGTTGAGGATTGGCTGAGTTACAGCGGTTGAAATGTGAAAAAATACGCATAAAATGACAAAATTTATTTTTCTTCGGACTGTACGATGAAATTGTGATATCAAGCCATATAAGTTTTATTATATTGCGGGGAAGAAAATAAAAATTAGCTTTCGAAAATGGTAAAAATCAAAGAAATCGGTTAAAAAATGGATGACTTATACACATTTTTGTATTGATTCTATGCATATTCTCTAAAGGAAATATGGGTCTGTATCGTTTCCTGTTACAAACCGTTATGTTTGCAACGGACAAAAGGAAACGAGATAGACCCATAGTTCCTTTAGAGAATATGCATAGAATCAATACAAAAATGTGTATAAGTCATACATTTTTTAACCGATTTTTTTGATTTTTATCATTTTCGAAAGCTAATTTAATTTTCTTCCTCATAATATAATAAAACTTATATGGCTTGATGTCATAATTGCATCGTACAGCCCGAAGAAAAGTTAATTTTGTCATTTTATACGTATTTTTTCACATTTAACTCAGTCAATCCTCAACCGATTTACCAAATATATATCTTGTTTGAAAGGAAAAATTGTACTCTTCGAAAGAAAAAAGAATAATATAAATCCGTAATGAAGTAAATAAGTTATTCAAGTTTCAAATGGAAAATCCATGAAACCACGTTTTTCTCTATATTTACCGTTATAAAATTAATTTTCGAAGTGACCCAGAAAAACCAAAGGTATTTTCGTGATCCAGGGACTCCAACTAAACAGAATTGGTACATTAGAACCCCTGAAAAAAATTTGTTTGTTATTTTGTAGCACAGTGTAATCGTTCGAGACCTTCATAAATGCTTAAAATTCAGAATACTGGGGGTAGACCGATATCGATCATTTTTGTTACGAAAATTTGCTACCCAATTACATCCATTTCCATTGACATTACTTTAATAATATTTTCCTCCTGTGTTTCTTTAAAGATTCCCCTTCGATTTTGAATCATATCCTGGCTATGAGATTTCTTATATTTACACTGGACTGGTAACTCTGGCAGTGATGATGTATGCCATTGCCATTGATGGTCTATTTATATCGTTTACCATCAATTTAGTGGGTCATCTCAAGACATTACAACATTTCATACAGACCAATACATATCTGCGCAGCGATAAAGAAATTCACAAACAGATTTCCTTTTATATTCGGTATCATAATTTAATATTACATCTGTATCAAGATGTTCGTCAGATTTACAGTCCGATTGTGTTTGGTCAGTTTCTCATAACATCTTTGCAAGTTTGTGTAATAGTCTATCAAATGGTTACGGTAAGATATCAATCGAATCAGCAAATCAATCATAACGTCTATACAAAAAGTTAATTAAGAGCTAATAATGTTGTAATTTATATTTATTTTCTGTTTGTTTTTCAAATGCCTATTGCCATCCTCCATAGCATATTAATACGTTTTTGGTCTTTGTAATCAATTGTACGTTTTTGCTGTCCATTTTGTTGCAACTTTTCATCTATTCCTATGGCGGTGAAATTTTAAAAAATGAGGTAAGTATGAAGTTTTGCTGGCTAGCCAACATCCGTTTGATGAGCGACCGGTCGGCTCGGTTTTTCCGTTTTCCCACAAGTAACCTATACCAATGCACCCTCTTCTTCTTTTTATGACTTTGTGTATCATTCTCTTCATTGTTTGCAGAGTCTAATGGTCGGAATCTCCGTACAACTATCCAATTGGTATAATTTAAAGCCAGTGCATCGTCGCATGTTGTGGTTGTTGATGTTGCGTTCGCAACGAGAGGCCATTATCAGAGGCGGTTTTTATGAGGCATCTCTAGCTAACTTTATGACGGTAATTAGTACTTAGATGAAGTTCTCCACTGTGAACACTTTTGTCATTTTCATGGAGCACTCATGCACAGAACTTAGATACAATCTGTGTTGTACAGGCATTTGCTTGTGTTTCATGTTTTAATTTGAGTTTAGAAATGGAAGAACAAAAATTTTTTTAGGGAAAAAAGTTTATGCAATACGAATCCATACGGGAATTTATTCATTTAAATATTCTTTTCCGACCCAATAAAATAAATGAGCTATATCTGTGGTACAGAGTAATATGTCTTTGGGCAAATTTTTGTAAAAGATAAAGAAAATCCCATTCGGAGTAGATTTATTCATGTTCGTCCTTCCGTATTATTATAAATCATATACAGGTCGCATTTTTGATCGGATTGAAAGAAATTTGGCACAGTTTAAGGGCGAAACCCATGGATATTATTGAAAATCGATTCAGATTTTGATAAACTTCCCAAATATATAATTTGTTTAATCCGATTCCACAATGGTGTACTAAACCCCCAACCGTTTGTTCGATTGCCACGCAGCTTACTGAATTAGGTATAGAATAACGTGCGTTAAGTTTTGTTGAACAATTTATATTTTTATCTCTAATATTAATTTTTTGGGAACGTTTTCAAACGAGTTTGATGTTTCATATTTTGAGTTTTCTTTGGGAATGAAGTCATCCTACAAAAAAAGTTTATCGCCCCATATGCTGTTATAGTACGTTTGAATGTCAATTTCATTGTTATATGCCAAATAAATCATCATAAAGTAGGTTAACCCGGTAAAAATTTCTAACGTAAATATCCCTTTACCTTCAAAATTTCGATATTATGGGTAAGTTTATGTTGTACCATAGGGACTTAGCGCCCATTTTTCACATTTCATATTTCGGAGGGTATAAATGACGCCTTTACTTCGACTCACATTGTAAATTGTCTGGCATCAAGAATGTTATGTTAACAAACAAAGATTTTTATATGGAGACTATGGTGATAATAGGTCAATGTTTGGAAAATTTAAACTCTTCTGAAAATCAGTTTCTCGAAAAAAAATATTGGGGTGCACAATGGACCAGAAATCCAATTTTTTTGCCATATTTAGAGTTGTGGGATTATGAAATAAACAAATATCACATATAAGAGTTTCGGGGCGCTGATTACGACTCAGCGAGAATAACGTCACAATTTAATATGATCGAAAACGGCGGCATTTTTTAAGTTGAATTGATCAAATTATTTTTGATCATGTTTTGTAGAGCTATGGCCACTATTAAAAAATATAAATCAGATTTTGAAAATTGAATAAAATGAATCCATAAATGGCGGATGAAATATGAGAAAAAATTCAATATTTCATTTATTGACACTAATTAATGCTTTCATGCTTTTCATATTTTAACTGCTACCATGTTAATTTTACCTTAATTAAATTTGAATTACAATGAATTTGGTTGAAAAACGTGCTCAAAATTCCCAAGGTACCAAATAATGGTGAGTCGGTCAATGTGGAGCCTCCCGAAACCAAAGTCATTATTAATAGTTTTTCGTACGAAGATTACGATACTAAATTACATCTTCCAATTTATCATCAGCATGCTATGTTAGTAAATTATAGCTTTGTGTGGCCCCAAGAGTTTGTAAGACCGCGAAATATTCCACCGATCGTCATATCAAATCTATCCACCGATCGACTAGCTGAGCCGATCTAGACATGTGTGTCCGTCCATCTGTCCATTATAATTTGTAAACACCATTCAGTCCACAGTTGTGGACAGTTGTGGTTCTTCACGAGATTTTGCATTTAGGACTGGTTCTTGCCAAAGAAGAACCCTATTGGTTTGGTAAAGATCGGTATTTAGGTGATGAAATGTATCAAATAAATAATTTTTGTCTGGTTTTCTGGTCGCTCCAAAGATCGCAATTATTGTCCCAACATCGCGAAATTTTACATGGAGAAGGTAATCGGGTTAAAACATGTCTGTTTTGATAAAGATCGGCCATTATTTAGCGTAAAATGGGCTCTGGCTTTTGTGTGAAAAATGGCTTTTTTCGCATTCTATGGCGTACATATTTTCTCCTGAAGGACATAGATCAGAGAAGCTGATAGTATATCCAAGAGAAGTGGTTGACCATTAAATTGATACCAATTATATTGTCGCATGTACTCGGATGTGGGAGTTACACTAAAATATTTACAGGTGCTTACGTATTCAGATATTATGTAGTAACCCATTACCACACTAAAGGGCGGAAATAAGGTCTTATAGAAGGGCTGTGCTGAATATTTGTAATATTCGGAAAATATGTCAATGTAAGGAAGAGGTGCTGTTGACCTCTAATCGGGCAAAAGGGTGCATATAACACGAAATGTTGCTCGGAATAAAGAATAAAGAAAGTTGGAGTTCCGTGGTAGTTGTGTAGGGTATCGTATGGTCGGCCCCGTCCGACTAGACTGCTTCGCTCACTATTTTTTTTTTAACTTACATAGTTTAAGTCCAAATATTAGGATGGTGAAATAATCCAATTTTTTGTGTAAATGGTTTAAAACAGATATGGCCGATTTATAGCTCCTGGGCGATGTTACGACTGCTAACATGTAGGTCAACATCGATTATTTCTCTGTAAAGTGTACCGAATCACCCTGTAACTCACAATTGAATGTACCAAACAAAAATAGCAAAATAATTTTGTTATTGCAAAATGTCACCCTTCCAACGAGCATAAATCTGAAATTGTTCGATAGATACTTTGCGAGAAATCTATCAATACAGCCATTTGCCGAAAAAATAATAGATTTTTTTTCCCTAACATAATAACACGTGCCCAGAATGCAAAATATTAGAGAGTGACATTATTTGGGGCCTACGATTACAGATGGGCCGATATATCTCATTGTCAATACCAATCCTAAGGGTTGTAGTAATTTATGTCCAAATTTTCAAAGCTCTATTTTAAATATTGATTTCAATAGAATTTTATTCTGATCAAAAATTCATATACATAAAATTCTCTGACGATTATTTCGAGGAATCACAGATGTAATATGCAGTTCAACTTATGGTAGAGGTTGTGAAAATAAACTCGGTATAAAGAACTTTAAGACATGGATATATGAAAAGTGCCCATTATTCGTACACTTAAAAACCACTTTCAGATTTCACAATATTTTAGATTTTATTTTCATCAATTGTTACATTGTTTTTAATTCCAAAACTGATAAATATCAAATTTCTTTTCATTTCCACAGATTTTGAAAGCCGCCCTTTCATACATCACGCTCATCCAGTCAATTGAATAGTCTAATGATGATAATGATGTGGATGATAATTATGGAATTTGTGATAATAACAAAGAAGATGATAATGAAGTTGTGCATGGTTGTCGTAATCATATAAAAGCTTTATTTTGGTATATGAACACAAAACAAACGCTTAAAAGCTTTAATAATGTAGTGTAGCATTTATATAATAGATGTCGCTAGTGTATACTTATATGTAGTAAATCAAAAGAGAATAAATGCTTTATAAACGTTTTATGCGAAACGTAGCACCATTACGTGGAAATATTATTTTAAATGATAAACAAATTGACTACATGGTAGAGTTTATAATCATCGTGTCAATTAGTTTCCAACACCTGGAAATATTTGTTGGAGACCCCAAAAATGTATTTTTATTCATCAAAATAAAATGATATGTTGATTTAAATAGTTTTGTTGATTGTTTTTGAAAATGTACAACTCTCAACCTCCATACAGACATTGCACTATAGGTTATTTGGACAGTTTTTTGGGCAAAAACTCATTTTTTCAATTTAGGAAAATAAAATCTTTTTTGATGTCATTAAAAAGAAAACATGTAAAATTTTATGAATCTGCGTAAAAGTGTCTTAAAAGCGGTGAAAATCGTTGCCAAACTCTAAACTTTGAAAATAAAATTAAAGAAATAAAAAAATTTTAAAAATCAAGGATTGATTAAAAATAAAAAAGTGGCATATGAAAAAATTTTGTTCAATATATCCAGTGTTTACTATAATCGTGTTCGACTGTAGTAAGCATGGTTTTATCTCACTTTTACATATTAATGTCCTTAAGGAGTATAATTGGGTACTGTATTAATCGTTATTAATGCTTTCTGCAAAAACATACGACATTGTAATAATTATTCCTTTAAAAATCTAATCGCGGGGTCGAAATTTTTTTAACTTACTACCCTAATCGTTTTCAACCGTTTGTTGTGTATAAAACAGCTAATGAAAATATCTGAGAATGTATTAGCTTTGTTCGTTATATGTGTAATTGCTTGTAACCGTTGTTCGTTATATCCGGGATTTACTGTGGAAATCTGCTTTTTCTCTTTCTTGTACATATGCATCATTTAAAAAGTCAAAAAATCGCTTAAAACCGCTATTATGCCTATATTGCCTCAAAAACAGGGCAAATTACCTATAGTACATTGGTCTGTATGGATGTTAAGAGTTGTACATTTTCAAGTGGTCATATAAGGCGACCAGATTTTGAAAATGGAAAAAGATTACATCAAGAAAAATTAATTTTTTTTCAATATGAAAAAACAAATATTTTTAGTTTTTAGAAGGAGTCCGATCAGTGCTTAATACGACTTGGCAGAGAAATATTTGATTAAATATTCTGAAATAAATATTGACCAAGGTTTAAGAAATAAAGATGGAAAAATATGACGATTATTGAAATAGATGACAGATAGAGGACACACATTTTATAGATAATAGCCAGTAAAAGTAGATGAATCCCATCAAAAAAAAAAAAAAAAAAAGAGGACATAATATATCCCCCATATGACAATACCTAACCATTCGGTGTTTTGAAAATTTTAGTCAAATTTACCAAGCGAATGTTTAGAAAATTTAGCATTCCGGTTCATATTTTGACTTAGCCACAATATAAAGGTCCAGCGTTGAGTTTTTCAAAGGACGTAGTCTGGTCAAAATGTTGCTGACCAATATCTAGCTATTGGAGTTTCCGAATTAGTCGAAACTTTGCACATTTTAATATTGGTCCATTCCTTCTAATACCTTTTCCACAAAGAGACCCTATTTTAATTATTATATGGAGCGAACGGAATACACCATTTGATCCGAACTTAGCACATGGAAATATATATATATATATACTGATGATATGATATATAGTAGCTAGATTTGCTATTCAATGGGAATTGAAAATACCAAGTTACAGTCAATTCTGTTGAAACATGTGCCCATAGTCTCCAAAATACCGAAAAGAAAAGAGAGACCAATATTGATAGTTTTTGGTAGGAAGTTGTGTCAGAAGGCTGTTTTAGCCAGTGAGAACCCAAAATACCAAATTCCACAACAATAACAAATTATAACAATTCAGTTCGAAAACGTGCCAAAAATCCCTAATAAACCGAATATTTGGAGTACCGTTATAGGGAAGGCAATACGAAAACGTGGACTGATATTTATTGGATTTTCAATGCCAAACATACTATCAGTGCAAAATTGCTTACCTTACCTTAAATATTGCAAGTTGTATCGTAAATTTTATTCTGATCAAAAATATATACTTTAAGGGTCTTTGGTGAATACTTCGAGGTGTTGCAAACGGCATGACAAATTTAATATACACTCTACCTTATGGTGGGGGACATAAAAATGTGAATGGAATATCAGATTTGACCCACTGTTAAGATATTTTAAATGTTGAATATTCAAAGTCTTAGTTCGAACATAATATAACAATATACTACTTTTAGGGTATAGAAAAAATCATGATTGCATTCACTATGTTGTTATCAGTTTAAATTGGAAAATAAAAAAAAACTCAAACATAGGAATAATATATTTAAGAAAATACTCTACTCAAATATTTTATTTGTCTTTATAAAGAGATTCATAATTTTTACAAACTGATAATGTTATCAACTGCCAGCTAAAACATCCACACATACACACTGTCCCGTCAATCTGTGCATTGTGGGGAACACTTCCACATATGGAAGCACTTAGTCTCCGTTCACATTCCGTAGATTCCATTTCAGTGGTGGCGCTAAAGCTTTTGTTTACTCAAGATTCCTATGCAAACAACGCTAAAGTGGTGGTCCATCCACAACGCATTTTTGTTTAACTTTGTCGAAAGTATTATGGCAAAATAGAAAACAAAAAAGTACAAGAAATAGAACAACAAACAAGCGGGCAAGGAAGCAGGCAAGCAAATAAGCAAGCAAAAGTGAAACCCTTTAAAGTTGTGCGTATATGTCCCATAAAACTACGTACATACATAAATCCGCAGTGTGCCCGGAGGCAGACCACAACGATAGTGGTGTTAACAAACTACACACGGCGACGAGAAACGACGAGCCAGATACTGAAAATGCTCCACACTCAACAACAAATAAATCAAAGTCAAATTTAGAGAAAGAAAAAGTTTTATTGGGCATCCATTTCGGGACAACTTTTGTGAGGATTCCCTGTTCTACATGACTGACTAGCTTAAATAGAGGAATTTTGAATTTTTGTTTTAGTTTTGGAGTAAAGAGGACGCCTTTAGGCCAAGCTAAGCTAAGCTGCACCACCCACAACAACAATAACCAACATGTGTTGTTTATTTTCTCAGCTACTTTGTCAACAACATCAACAATGCCATCGAGCAAAGTTCGCATATCTTAACCGCCACCGTTCAGCTGTTGTTAAGCTCCAACTTTGTCTATTTTTTGTGGTGTTGTTGTTAAATTTAACCCAAGTATCGCTTCATGAAACTCAAAGTCGAAGTTATTTGTCGGAATTGCGTGTACAGGAATTGCATAACATCGCCATACGCTTGGAACATTCCGTGGATGCGGATAAAAGAGCCTGTGAAAGTTACTATGATTATGTGTGTGGTCGCAATCGTCCTTTGTTTTCCATAATGGGTGAGTAATCTGAAGTTAAAGTGTGTGTGAAGCGCATAAAATGCAGATGGAAATTTATATTTTAAAAGTCGTACGGATCTTCGCATTAAATCCGTGTAGATATTTTGGAGTCAACTCATCGATTTTGTTTAAAAAAATGCTGGAAGTTAAATTTTCTTAACACTAGATTGCCGAAAGCAGTCATTTTGACCGTTTTTCAATTTCAAGTATTAAAACAATTGTGTATATTATGACCCAGCTTTTTAAAATTTGGTGACTTTTTGTACCACATAGAACTACGTTTATTAATCATAGTAGCTGCTTTCTCCCCTCTTTCATTCCCGGTATTCACATGTGATATACCTATATTGCCTAAAAGCGGTCATTTTGACCTTTTGTGAAATATTAAATAATCAAACTACTTTTATTATTGTATAAAGTAAATTTCTTATATGACCAGATCAGTACAACAACATCGAAACCCGTTTGCTACTCTAGAAACACAAACGAACATATAAATCGGGAAAAATAAATTTTATATTTCCAGTCGATTTCACTCTTAGAGTAAAGACTTGCTCTTTTTCGAACATTTTGTCCGCGCTCTTATTTTTCAAAAGGGGAAACTCGATAGCCATACAACCGAAAACAAATAATAACAACATTTTGTATGATTGTAAATAATGTAAAAAATATTAAAAAATTAGTTTAAAAAAATTTCTTTACACAATAAAAATTCTTTCAGAATGAGGTCATTTTGACTGATTTTAGGCAATATAGGTATATACAAAATTCCCGTCTTTCTAGTGTTAAATTCGGCGCTAATTTTTTTTTTTACCAATATTTTTTTACAAATTTCCTATATTTCCGTATAAGACAAGCAGAGTTACTATTATCGAAGGATTTCATATAACATTATATTTCATTCAAGCATAGATTAGGTTCGTAGATAAAACTTACCAGCACACTCTTACTAATTACCGTCTCCACAAATGCTCCATATTTTAATTGTCATATGAAGCGAACAAAACCCCAACATCGAAATATTTTTATCAAGCCCAGATCAAGTCTAATGATGGGACCCGCCGGTTCTTACCTTCTGGTACCTCTCCCACAAAGTGTCATAATTATACCCTACATAACTATGTTGTCAGGGTATTGTAGCTAAGTGTGGCCCCAAAAGTTTGTAAGGCTGCCAAATATTGGTCTTAGACCCACCATTTAGTATACCGATATCATATATCGACTAACTGAGTCAATCTAAACAATCGTCTCGAACATTTGCATGTGTGATGGGTTCTGTTTTTGGGAATGATCAGTTAATATTAAATTCACCACTCTATGGTATATGTATTTGTGCATATGTTAGTAACAGGCAAAAAGAAACAAGATGGACACATGGTTCCTTTTTAGAATATGCATAGAATCACTTTCTGAGTCGATTTATGCATGTCCATATTAAATTGTAAACAAAGCACAGGTTACATTTATAATACGAATATAATCTTATTTACTTGGCCCAGGGACGAACCCTATTGAAACTGGGAAAAATATGCTCAGATTTAAATATAGCTTCAATATATATTTTCGTCCGATTTAATATAAATAGTGCACCAATGTCCCTACATATCTTTCACTTTGCACGACATTTGGCATAGCGTACTGAATTGGGTCTAGAATGATGTGTGTTAAGTTTCATGAAAATCGGTCCAGATTTAGCTATGACATGAAATTGTTAAGATACATGTAGAATATACCCAAAGCGGTGAAGGGTATCATATAGTCGTCCAGTCCGACTTTCCTTACTGGTTTTTGTTTGTTTTTCTGGTCGCTCTAAAGCGACTTAAATTCTTACAGATATCGTATAGTACCAATATTAACACACTAGAGGGCGGAAGTGTAGCGCCGATGGCTAGGAAATTTTACTTGAGATTCCGGTTATGGTCAATGAAGACGCATATAATTTTCGATGTCGTTCTAGCGCCACAACTATAATGATCTTTCAATATTCATGGGGTCAAATAAATCAAGACATTTCGGTGTAAAATTAAAAAAAATTGTATTGTGTGGCGTAAATGTTCACCCCGGAAAAGAAAGAGCGGCCGTGGTAAGAAAGAGGAGCGGTTGACTTATAATCGGTCAAGAGGGCGCAAATATTGCCCCAGATCGGCAAATAGATCCGCAGAATATTAGTTTTCCGTGGTAGTTGTGTAGGACACCATATGGTCGGCCAGTCCGCTCACTGGTTTCAAAATGTGTTTATATATCCAATATTAAAATAAATAAGTTCGTTAATATCGGCTGTTTCTTTAAGAAAATTTAAAACCAAATTACAGACACTCAGGTTAGAAAACTGGGCTACGGACATTGACTTACCGAATAAGTATACACCTATATTGACAACTTTTTTTTCGATCGTTCCCACGTCACTCATTCCCGCCCCTGCCGACCGAGGGGGGCCGCCTTCTTATAACGAGAGGAGCACTTACACCTCATAGTCCGGACTATCCCTTGATGGTAGGAAAACTACAAACAAACTACAAACATTTTCAGCCGGTCATATATATATATATATATATATGTACTACGAACAAGGACAAAACAACAAACAACTACATACGAAGTATTGCATTTTTTTATTGCATCTACAGAGTCGTAAAATGGTATACAATTATAAAGCTTATTATAAATCTCACATATATCACGAAAGGGATTATTTAATTCATAATTAGATTTTGCTAAAGAAAGTTTAAGTGGAATGTAGTTACTCGGGTTAAGTGGAGGTATATTTAATTTTATTTCACCAAATAAAAAAATCGAAGCAATATTGCCTCTTAAAAGTTTAGTAATAAAAAATGCGCGGAGCATTAAATAATATTTTTTTATTAGGTGAGGGTTCTGCCAAAAAATGGGCTTATGAAGGAAGTTTTCTTTATAAATATTAATAACGGAGAAATGATCGACGTTGACCGGCATGTTAGCAACCGTAACATCGCCCAGGAGCTAAAAATCGACCATAAAACTGAAGTGACTCGCCAGAAACTTCGGAAGCTTGGTTGGGAAGTTTTAATGCATCCGCCATACAGTCCGGACTTGGCACAAAGCCATTAACATATTTTTCTTGCATTGCAAAATTTCTCTAATGATAAAAAATTGGTATCTAGGTAGGATTGTAAAAATCGACTACTAGAGTTTTTTTGCAAATAGAGAGAAGGATTTATATTTGGCTCAAATCGGACATTCCGGAGCATGTTAAATAAAGTCCTATAATTCATATAAAAATAATGGATTTCTTTTTCCCCAATTTACAAGCAGAATTCTGCTAAAATCTTCAAAATATCGAAAACTGGGTGATATTTTTATATGGAGGCAATAATCAAACCTTTACTTAACCTCCAACACCCCGCAATGCAAAATTACAGGTACTTTAGTAGGTAAATGTGGGTAAAACCCACAAAATACTGAAATTGGGAAGGTAACATTATATCGGAACTATACCATAACGTGGACCGGTATAAATAGTTTTTATATTGAAGATTTAAGTCCCTGCGATAGTCAAAAATACCATATTTTAGTCTATTCGGTTGAAAAACGTGCCACAAATCCTCGAAATACCGAATAGTTGGGGGTACCGATATGTGGGGGCTACCCCAAAGCAAGATCCATACAATTTATTATCCAAATATCAGACTGGATTGAATTTAATTGAAAATCGTACCCAAACTCCCGAAAATACCCAACAATGGTGGTTTCTGTTATATGGGGGCTACCCTAAAAAGGGTCCAGTATAAATACTTTTGGTAGGAAAATTTGCTATAAAATTTGGGTACAAAGTAGGACCAAACTACCCAAAATGCCGAATAATGGGATGTAACGCTCTTTTGGGGCTAGCCCGAATCATGTGCAATGCACAATGTATGTGCAAAATGTCAAAGCTTTATTTTCCATATTGAGAGTTCTATAGTGATTTCAACCGACATACGGACATGGCTTAATCAACATAGAATTTTAGTCTGATCTGGAGTCTCAGGTGAATATTTCGAGGTGTTACAAACGGTATGACACATATAATATACACTCCACCTTGTGGAGAAGGGTATAACAAGTGCTCCATCTTCACATTAGAGAGTAATCCCGTAGTTTATTATGTCTTTGAAGCCTCACTTAAAATGAATTTCTTTTATATACTAACAAAATATTCGTTTTTTCTATATTCCCTTTTAGGTCATCTTCCTGATAGCAATGAGCTCATACACCTGCTAACCGAACTTCAAGAGGATCCAGAACAATTTGAAGCCAAACAAAAGCTAATGGATTTCTTTATATCGTGCAACTCTATGAAGTCGCTAGATGATTGCTATCGTGAATCCTTTGAATATTTCAAGCCGCTTTTCGGTTATTTGATAAGTAAAAATTATCTCGATAATTCACCAGAAGAGTTGGAAACATTCCTTAACATACTTGATCGATTCATAAGAGTTGCCGAACAGAATAAACGTTTCCGTCAGGAGCCCACCTTGTTGAAACTGACAACATTAAAAACCAGTTTTCGTTATCCCCAAACCTATTTTCGTTCGGTAAAATTAAACAAGGAATATGAAACATTGAAAATATATCGTGAAAGTTATCTGCATAATATTAAAAATCTGGAAGTGTTTCGTAGGCGTAATTCAACCTATACACAAGGTACCAACCGAATTGTGCTCGATTGGACGTTGTATCTGTACCAGAGTCGCCACAAACCAATTTCATATTATTATCCCACCTTTAATGCTCATTTGTGGATGTCCGTGTATAATCGTTCAGAGGTGCGTGAATATGAACCGAAGAGATTTGCCGAAATTGGTGAATGCCTCAAATTGCCCCAGTTCGTAAATGCTCTGGAAGAAGCACGCATCCTAACCATAGTCTATTTGAAAAGTTTCAACAGTGCCTGGAAAGATTATATGGATTGGATTTCTTCATCTCCCCAAAACGAATACATCACGGATCAAGAAAATCAAATTCTCGCCCAATATCAACTAAATAATGAGAAATTATTTTTTACTTTGTACGCGCAAAACTTTTGTGAATTTGGCCGAGACTTGGCGGAACATGTATTCTTTGTTGGTTTAAAACATAGTTTCAATTTTACCCGAGCATATTCGTGTGGCCTTGGTGTTGATAGAAGTTATGATTGTTTGTAATGCATTATCGGAGATATATAAAAAGCAATTGAATAAAGTGTAAATAAGTTAATTATTATACAAGACACGATTTTACTATAACGATTGTCTTTTAATAAATAATCGAGTCGATATAGCTATGTATGTCCATCGATACATCAGCCCATTATAATTTTTATTTTCGAATACTTCCCTCTGTTATGAACACATGTTCAATTTAGTTTCGACTGGCCAACTCCTTCATATAGAAAAAGGTTTTCAAAAAAGACGCATCCGCATTTTTTACATTGATCAAATTAGATATTCGTGCTGTCATTAAAAAACACGACTTTCAATCATACATTAAAGCCATATTCACTCGAGTCGTGTGGTACCGTCTTGTTGAAAGCACATATTCTTCAATAGCAGGCAACAAGACGGTTATCATAACCATAACGCTCCGTTCTATTGTCTTATTCGAAGAAATGACGTCCGTGGTCGTACCTTTGGGCCAACAAGCACACCAATCAGTGACTTTTTATACCCTTCACCACACTGTGGTACAGGGTATTATTTTGCATATGTTTGTAACAGGCAAAAGGAATCGAGATAGACCCATAGATCCTTTTGAGAATATGCATAGAATCACTTTCTGTGTCAATTTACGCTTGTCCGTCTGTCGGTCCATGTATTTTTGTTAACAAAGTGCAGGTCGCATTTATGATCCGATTTGGATTAAATTTGAAATTGGAGAAAATCTGTTTAGATTTAGATATAGCTCCCATATATATAGTCGTCCGATTTTACGTGAATGATGCACCAAACTCCCAATATTTGTCCGATTGGCACAAAATTTTGCACAGAGTACTGAATCATATTCAGATTGATGTGTGCGATTTTTTTAAATCGGTTCAGATTTAGATATAGCTCCTATATATAGTTTCGTCCGATAGTTTGTGAATGATACACCAAATTCCCAATATTTGTTTGATTGAGTAAAATTTTGCATAGCGATAATGTTTGTTGAAATCGGTTCAGATTTTGGTATAGGTCTTATATATATATATTTTTTTTCGTTGAAATTTTATGGGTACACAAAATTGAATATAGTTATTACAAAACACATGGTGTATGCAACGGTTACTCAAGGTCCACGTGGTACACCAAAGAATGACATGAATTGACACGCAATTTTTCATTGATTTCAGAATGGTATGTGTATGGGGTTTTTCTATTAGTTCAAATATGTATCTAGATAGCACATTTAATTTCGCCCGATTCCATCTCAATGGTTCTTCCAAAGCCTGTTCTATCTACACGATATTGTAGATATTAACATGTCTTGCATGTACCCAAAGTGGTGAAGGGTATCATATAGTCGGCCCCGTCCGACTTTTGAACTTTCCTTACTGGTTCTGAATGTAATGGTCCTTCTTCAAATACATGATGATTCTCACATCCCCAAATACGACCATTATGTTTATTAACATACCCACTGAGTGAGGTATGGGATTCATCGCTATAGAAAATTGTGTTCGAAAAATATAAGCGGAACGATAATGCAGTATCTTTAAATCTTTTCTTAATTTTGCCAATTTCTTGCGTAGTTGGACGATTATTTACCACAATTTCTTCTTAAAGAGCGACATGTGTTGCAGAATCGCATTTTTTGTAGGTTTTAGGTTTTGATAGGTTGTGAGATAGTTATGGTATCCATTTTTGTCAATGTCAGACTTTCAACTGGAAAGAAAAATTTGGTTTAGCAACATAGTTTGACATATGTCGATTTCCAGTCCCAAATTACAACACCTTCAAAATTCCAAATACTTTATTTCGTTAAAAAATACGGCTAATGCTTTAAAACTGGCGTGAATGGTATATATGGACATGTATTCTTCCGAAAGCACAGTACGCTAAATTAGAGGTATTTCTTTTGGAAATACTCTTAACAATACTGAAAATGGTCGAACATTTTGTGCAAATATTTCCTTCACTCTACGAGAACCCCAAAATCAAAATACAACCACTTCGGTTGAAAAATAATGTCAAAACGTGGACCTATACAAAATATTTTCTTCTGAGGTACTTGTCGTACTTCTTCTTAATCCAATTCCATCTTAATTCTTAATCCCAGTCTTAGATTTTTTGCAATCAGCCAATTTCAGTACAATTTCATTTGGAATATACTTCTATTCACCTCAGATCCGCTGTAAAAGCTCGTCTAAATTGGTTTTTTCCGATTGACGCATACTACCATTTGGATTCGGTTCGGTTTTTATACCCTTCACCACACTGTGGTACAGGTTATTATGTCTTTGTGCATATGTTTGTAACAGGCAAAAGGAAACAAGATAGACACATGGTTCCTTTTGAGAATATGCATAGAATCACTTTCTAAGTCGATTTATGCATGTCCGTCCGTCCTTCCGTCCATCCGTCTGTCTGTCTGTCCATGTTAAATTGTAAACAAAGTACAGGTCGCATTTATGATCCGAATTGGATGAAATTTGGCATAGGTCACTTATTCGGCCCAAGGACGAACCCTATTGAAATTGGGAAAAATCGGTTCAGATTTAGATATAGCTCCCATATATATATTTAACCGATTTAATGTAAACGGTCCCTATATATCTTTCGATTTGCACGAAATTTGGTACAGCCTAATCATTTAGGTTTAAAATGATGTCTGCCAAGTTTCGTGAAAATCGGTCCAGATTTAGATATACCTCCCATATATAGATTCGTCCGATTTCATGTAAATGGTGCCTCAAAGTCCCTATATATCTTTTGATTTGCACGAAATTTGGTATAACGTGCTGAATTAAGCCTAGAGTGATGTATGCCAAGTTTGGAGAAAATCGGTCCAGATTTAGATATAGCTTCCATATATAGTTTCGTCCGATTTCATGTAAATGGTGCCCCAAAGTCCCTATATATCTTTCGATTTGCACGAAATTTGGTACAGCCTAATCATTTAGGTCTAGAATGATGTCTGCCAAGTTTCGTGAAAATCGGTCCAGATTTAGATATAGCTCCCATATATAGTTTCGTCCGATTTCATGTAAATGGTGCCCCAAAGTCCCTATATATCTATCGATTTGCACGAAATTTGGTAGAGCCTAGTCATTTAGGTCTAGAATGATGTCTGCCAAGTTTCGTGAAAATCGGTCCAGATTTAGTTATAGCTCCCATATATAGTTTCGTCCGATTTCATGTAAATGGTGCCCAAAGTCCCTATATATCTTTTGATTTGCACGAAATTTGGCATAACGTACTGAATTAAGCCTAGAGTGATGTCAGCCAAGTTTGGAGAAAATCGGTCCAGATTTAGATATAGCTCCCATATATAGTTTCGTCCGATTTGATGTAAATGGTCCACCAAAGTCGCTAAATATCTTTCGATTTGCACGAAATTTGGCATAACCTTCTGAATTAAGCCTAGCGTGATGTCTGCCAAGTGTCGAGAAAATCAGCCCAGATTTAGATATAGCACCCATATACAGTTTCGTCCGATTTATGTAAATGGTGCACCAAAGTCCCTATATATCCTTCGATTTGCACGAGATTTGGCATAACGTACTGAAATGAGCCTAGAGTTATGTCTGCCAAATTTCGAGAAAATCGGTCCAGATTTCTATATAGCTCCCATATATAGTTTCGTCCGATTTCATGTAAATGGTGGACCAAAGTCGCTATATATCTGTCGACTTGCACAAAATTTGGCATAACGTACTGAATTGAGTCTAGAATGATGTCTGCCAAGTTTCGAGAAAATCGGTCCAGATATCTATATAGCTCCAATATATATAGTTTCGTCCGATTTCATGTAAATGGTGCACCAAAGTCGCTATATATCTTTCGACTTGCACGAAATTTGGCATAACGTACTGAATTGAGCCTAAAGTGATGTCTGCTTTTTTTCGTGAAAAATCGGTCCAGATTTATATATAGCTCCCTTTTATTATAGATTGATTTTAAGTAATTGACGCACCAAGGAACCAATAGGCTGATAGGAACAAAACTTTCTGAAATTAGAACAACCTAACCTGTGACAAGTTTGTTTCAAATCGCTTAATATTTGGATAGAGCTTCCATATATATTTTCCCCCGGTTTCAAGTAAATTGGGCATCAAACTCCTCACGTTAGTCAGATTGACATCAAATTTTGCACAATTTACAAAATTGAGCATAGAATTACGTAGTTGCGTTTTCTAGAAGTACAGACATAGCCCAACGGATGACCTATTTACATTTGTTTGAAGCCGATTTACATACTTTATGGATATATCTAGGTAGATTCACATTTAGATAAATATCACATATTTTATTTCATCCAATTTCATGTTAATAGCCCTGTTTAATATACCCATAGTGGTGAAGGGTATCACATTGTTACGTTCTTGGATTTTACTTAATCCCGTGTAGACGTTGTTTTATTTCCCGATACAATTCGTACCAACTAAAACGCGGGTTCTTTCTGATTACGAGTATTACAATGATTTTATTGACTCAACTTTACTTTGCACTTTACTTGACTGTTTCAATTCGCGATCTGATTCACAACTAACTAACTGCCTTTCCATTTCCCCTATTTACATGAGCCTCGCCTGTCGCTACAGAAGTTTCTAGGCGATCTGGTAACACCTAGATTGCGAACAATCTACAAATGCAACAAACACATACAACACAGTGAGTAAACAATAACAACAACACATATACAGGCGAGGGAGTAACAAAGAAAGAGGAATTAAGCGATCATCAATGATGACGTTTAACAAGAATTGTACGTCAACAACAAAATAGACAATGAAAGAGGAAATGGAAGGATGTAGAAAAATCTATACAGTAGTTGTTGTTGTGAAGTTATTCGAATAAACTGCGTAGTAGAAATTTACGTTACAATTCAAATTCTTAAATTAACGGAATTCATCTAAATTAACTTAAATCTAAAGTTATATTCGTAACAATATAGTCGGGCCTGTCCGACTTTACTACTTTCATTACTGGTTTTGTTTTAGCATTTTGGGAGTTCTCATCACCAT